TTTGAACACCAGCTCCGATCTATTCGTGGGGAGCAGCACGTGCGGAGAACCGGGCTCAGCATCCCTTTTTTTTTTTTTTTTTCAAGAAAAGCCCTTGTGTAAGCCCTCCATCCCGATGGTGGTAAGAGAACCATCAGGATCGAGGGCTTATCTTCGGGGCTGCTCCATCTATTGGTGGGGAGCGGCACCTGCTGGAAACCGGGTCCAGCGTCCCACATATACAATTGAGAACACAAAAGTTAGCAATCGAAGTTCAGTTGGCTGTGCTTGTTCCCATGTCCCTCCGTGTCCCCGATGTCCCATGGAGCTGCTATAGTTCCCAATCCCAAGTTGGGGCACCCCTTACAGATTTGGACAGCATTATGATGTACATAGTTACAAGACAGCAACAGCAACTGCTTACAACAGTTGTTGGTGGTGGGCGGCCGCAGAAGAATGCTGCTGTATCTGCGGCATCTGCTGAGACAGTTTAGCAGAAGTTGCAGCTCTCACCTGTTGCTAGAGAGCAGCTTCATCTGCTGCTGTACAGCAACAGCAACAACAGCAACAGCCTACAACTGTTGCTGTTGCTGAAAAGCAGCCCATGAATGCTGGTGAAGAGCAAAAAAGGCCATCTGCTGAGGAACAGCAGCAGGTGCAGCTGGGTGGTGTGCAGCGGCAGCTTTCACCTCCTGGTGCGCAGCAACAGCAGCTGCTTTTATCAGCGGATACCCAGTCTCAGACAGAGGCACAAGGGGGGTCTGAGATGGAGGTAGTAGTTATCAAAGGAAATAGCAACAGCAAGCCATAAACTGAAGAGTATTTCAACTCAATCCTCCTCTCATTTGGTACAATCTAAGGAAGAACTGGAACCAGGTAAAAAACAGAAATTGAGACACGCCCTGGAAAAAGGACAAGTGTCCAGGCTGCAGTCTTCAAAAGGAAATCTGGTGGTCCCAGCCAGAAAAAAAGCAGGCAAATGGGAAGTTGGACTTTCCCCAGTGGGTCAAGACAACTACGGGGGAGTGACACTGAGGGGGTGGACATCATAATATGTGGATTACCAGGTGGCTGGAGACCGGGCGTACAGAAAGAATTTATATGAGTTTATTGCAAAACAATTGAAAACATTATGGCCCGGGTCTGCAGGCCACACTGACAGAAACAGGGGAACGGGCATTGATGGCTAAACATGATTCATTTGCCCATTTCGGGGAGAACAAGGAGCCTTGAAGGAGGCAGGCCTCATATGGTTTTCCCACGCAGCATTGTTGGAACTCCGACAATTGAAAGTCGAGGCGAACTCTGTCTGGTCAGCCTCTGATATTTCTGCATTCCTCTGTACCATTCTGCGAAGGGGCCTGGGTCCAGTTCTAGAATACTCTACCTCTGGTTTTGTAGGGGAGATGGAGGAGGGGGAGAAGGAAGGGCAGGAAGTGGGAGGAGGAGGCTGTATAGGGGTAGGGCTGAGACAAGAAGGGTAGGTGATAGGAAAAGAGGGAAGTGCAGGAGGGTACCGTCCCAACTGATGGATTAGACCGATTTCAGCATGCTTCGTACGCTTGTCAAGAATCCTATCACATAAGCATTTACTATCATCCATCCTTGAGTACTTGCGGAAATTATGGAGCGATTGAGCAAGACTCGGATTCTTGGTCCATACTAATCTCATTCTCCTTACCAACATACTTGCCAGAGATACGGGAATATGAGCTTGGCGAATGAGTTGGCCACAGAGACTTCAAACCTGTGATTTGGAGATTCTATCGGAATATTTAGTTCTGAAAATGAGTCTCTTTCTTGGACAAAACCCAAACTTGCGTCGAATGGCCTTGGATAGTATAGATCTCAGAGACTGTCTCGAAGGTTTTTTTGAGAAGCACCTAGCCACATTATAAGCAAATACTAAGTTATCCAGTGGCCAGTTGTACAGATTCCTTCTTTCGTTTGGGTGACTCAGCAAACGGGACAGCGGCTCTTTCAACGATTCCGAACGAGAACAAAATTTGTTAATAGACACGATTCTGAACAGATGTCCGCTCTCAACCCATTCTTTTTAGTGCTTGAGCTGATCCCTACCAAATCTGCTGACACCACTGATGCCCAAAAAAGTCGTTTGACAACCTTCCACGAATCCGACAACAAACCTCCTCCCTGGCCTATTGCAGAAAAAGACTCAATACCAAGCTTCACACAATGCTTCAGGATCTATAGCAGAGAAATTGAGGAAATCCCAACTGAGGAAGCAAAGAACATTACACGCTTGATCTTTGGCTGTTGTTGCTGAGTAATAGTACGGCTACCACATATCAGTGACTGCTTAGACCCCCTATTTCTTCTTTCACGTTTCCCGGGTCTATTCTTCCTACTCTTACTTACCTTTCCTGCCGCTGTACGTGAATTCAGGTAGGGAGACGCCCAGCGAATCAGTCTATCCTCAGCGGCTGCGCATGGGTGACCATGATAGGTAGAGCTACATAGTACTGCATCCCTGCCCTTCTCATCCATCTATAGAGTCTATGATTTCTAGTCTTACCCAAAGAAGAGTCTATCGACGCCATGCGCTGGACATGCTCTGACCATCTTTTTTCCAGAGATCTAGTCGTGCTACCAACATAGCAGTGCTCCATGCAGGGAGACACCAAACAGTAGACAACGGGGCCAGGACACTGTGCAAAATCATAATTGGCATGCAGAAGGTGTAAAAGAGAATCTGAGAACTTAAGACACAAGGGTACATAGCGAAGAAGAATGAGGGCAATTACGATCATACGTGTAAAATAGTGAAGAGAAGGGTTGAGCATGTCATCCTTAAACTTGCGAAGTTGAAAGCATGACTTGAGAAGAACCCAAAGATTTTTACCACTCAGGCCGTACCCCTACTCGTTACCGATAGGTTCATCTTCATCGCCGTCGACCTGCTGTGTGGCCTGCCCGTCAAGACCTTCGTGATCTTCATCTCGTATCTCTTCCGTCTCGGACTCATGCACTGGGCGGTCAGGCTTCTATTGCGGTCGAAGGTCAAATGTGAGTGATGTCCTCAGTTCTGCTATCTCGTTGATAGCCTGCTCGCAAGGAACGAAGGTAATCCCTTCCTTCCCACACAGTATCTGTAAGCCGTGCTTTTTGAGTCTCTTAAGATGCTTCTTTGTTTCCTTGAGGAAGTCAGCTCTCTCGATGGCGGCAGCTTTACTGACGTAGGTGCGCTTCGGCGGAGAAGGTCGCAAAGTAAGGTCATCAAGGTCATCTTCATGTCGCTCATGTAGATCCTGGTCTTCATCATCCGTGGCTTCATTCATTCGCTTCGAGAGATTGGAGCGCGGAGTCCTCCCCTGTCTGACCAACCTTGATACCGCCTTCTCAAACCTTTCTTTGAGCGCCTGAACTTCCATATCTGCGATGCGCTTTCCTTCCTTTACGGAATTGTAGGCTCTTAGCAGCTTCTGAAAGTCATCAGAGGTTAGAGTAGCAACCCCTACGACCCTTGCTTTCCCTCTTACTAGAGCCTCAGGGGGACTTGTGATGCACACTCCAGCCGCCGATCTCTTTAATGCATTGCCTGTCTGCTTGCCAGACCTTGTCAGCTCCTCCATGTTCTTTTTTATTGTCTCATGCTCCCGCCTAAGCTGTTCGATGTGCTTTTCCAGCCTCTCCTTCTCCAGATCTAGTATGTGCCTCACTCCAATGTTTCCCTCCCTGCAGCGATTATCCGCTAGAGCAGGCATGGATCTGGCTTGGTCAGCCTTGCCCAAAAATAATTCGCAAGCATCGTTGATCTTCGTTCCCACGATGCTGCTGATTCTCTCCTCAAAGTCTTGGCGTTCTTTAAGCTTCCTCAAAGCTTTCTCCTCAACTTCTTCCGCCCTTCTTCGTTCCTCCTCCTCTTTGAGCAGCTTCTCTTTCTCTCGGATCGCCTCTTGGCTTGCTTCAAGCTCGGAAGCCATGAACTCGTAGACGCGATCAAGCTTCTCTTGATTCATCTTCCACCAAGGCTGCCGGGGAAGTACCATCTGTCCAGAATTCAAAGAGGAGTTAGGGTTGTGGTTGGGGGCATTCAGATGTGATACAGGGGGTGGGGGCAGAGCGAGAAGTGGGGCACGAGAGAGACTAGTTGGAGAGGTGTTGTTGGAGGACTGTAGTGGTGGGAACATTGGCGGTCAAGGTGGGCGGGAAGAGGAAGGCTGCCGGTAAGGGCAGTCTCTGGCGAAATGCCTCGGCATATTACAGTTATAGCATACACTCGGAGAAGCCATCGTGAAAACAATGATAACTCAGGTAAGCTACTCACAAGATACGAAAGGATCAAAGTATGAGAGTAGAGTGGCAATTGGGACGAGAGAAGAATGACTGTGGATGGGCGAAGGACAGAAGAAAGTATCGACTAGGAGAGATCTGGTGAGACGTAGATACCTAAGCAACGAAGGTGAGACAGGGAATGAAGTAGATTAAGAACTGGCGATTTTTAGAGAAAACGATGATGGTACGAATGCTACGAAACAAAGGGAATGACGTGGGAGGGAGAAGATGAGCGAAAGACACAGCAGAACACGGAATTCAAGCAGAGGAAGTGAGAAATCGCGATGATAGTAACGATGATGTCAGAGTGTTAACGATGATGAAAAACGCAAATATCCAGTACGAAGCGACAATCTCGAATTGATATCTAAAGTAAAAAGACAGATGACAGGTGATAATTGACTGTTAGGCCTAGAGCAGAGCAACAGTGTTGCAAACTCAAAAAAACGAATTGAGAAACATAGAAAGATTAGCAGGGGGGGTATCGTCTATACTTCCTAGGACGCCTGTTTTCGTCCTCTCTTCTTGTCCTAGCTACAGCATAACGCAAGGTGCCATATGACACTTCAACAAAAATTTTCAAACCTCGAAGGCAAAAGATGAGGGTATCCAGCACCCAGAGGAGAATTTTATGCCATTCCATCGTTGATGACTCAAAGACAATTCAAACGATCAAGATTTGACGAAATCAGGTTTGAAGAACACAAGCAAATATACATGTCAAGACTAAGATTGAATGGTTGGGATAGGTCTACGGTGAGAAGGAAAGAGGAGGGAATAGACGAGAGAGACGAAAGACAGAGAGAGGAAACCAGATTAGATGAAAGACACGAGAACGCAGGCGCAACGAATAGTCTTGAAGCCGGAGCAGCAAAAATCCTTAGGGAAAAACTTGAAGTACATCATGTCGCTCCAACTGGGAAAACGGACCCCATAGGCGCGGCAGCGCCAGGGACACCCGACACGCCCTGTGGGAGGCGACCATCGGCAAGAGCCCGACTTGTTTCGACTGGCACTGATGAGCCAATCATCTTCAGGGGCGACGCACGGGAATCAAGATGACAAACGCTGCGTTGTGAGGTCTTAAGTAGGTTTCTCAATAGCATTGTACTTAGAAGAGAGGGAGAGAGGGAGGGAGAGGGAGAGGGAAAAAAGTGTGAGAGAGAGAGA